GGCACTCCCGTGACGGTGAGTCCTCTGCGAGCGACCTCAATCCCCAGACTCGTGAAGGCCTCCACCTCCCTGGAAGTCACAAAATCCCTGCCGTAGACGAGACACTTGTGTGGCTGGACCACAAGGCCCAGCTCGCGCAAGTGCCTCACAATCTCTGCAAAGTGGTGTAGCACCGTGGAAGGAGGGCCCAGCACGTAAGTGTCATCTGCGTATGACCATAGCTGGACATCGCCCTCAGCTAGAACTGGCTGTAGAGCCACGCGCTGTGTGAGGGCATACAGGAAGGGGTTGAGCGGGTCGCCCTGACGGGTCCCGCGCTCCGAGTGAATGGTGGTCACCCCTCCATTTGCTCGGTAGAGGAGATCGGAGGGTGTCCCGTAGAAAAGGCGAATGAAAGGAATAAGACAGCGGAACTCAGCACTAGTGTAGAGGGCCTGGAACATGGCGTCTCGATGAAACGAGTTAAAGGCGTTCGCCACGTCCAGCTGAAGAACCACCCACTCAGGGTGGTCATCCAGGGAGCGACGAATGCCTCTAACCACGACCTCTGTCCCACAGGTAACGCCCACCCCAAAGTGCTGTGACGCGAGGAAAACTCTAGCCATCTGGTCCCGCAGCTGCAAGCATACTGCGCGAGAAAGGATGCGAATCAAAACCTCACCTATCGCGATAGGACGCACATCCAGGTTCGGTTTCGCGAGAGCGACCAGGGTGGACGATGCCAATAGCGACCGAGCTGCCGGGGCGCAGTAGCCTCGTAGCCAAAGCTGGTACACGGCGAGCAGGCTAGGGAGGCTCTCAGGATAAGCAAGGAAAGTATCTCAAAGATGCTCGGCAACCCAGCCTGTCGGTCCTCCGGACGACCCGCACGGGGCTATGAAGATGGCGCGGCGGAGGTGATCTATTGAGAGCACAAGGGCAATATCCTGGAAAGTCGGTAGCCAATCTGGAGTCGGTCGCTCTGCAACGGGATGCTTGCTCCGCAGACGTTGTATCGTACTCTCTGTGTCAGGTGCCGCCTCTGCCGACTCCAGGGTCGCGCAGGCCCGCGAGGTCTCATTGCAAGCCGCCAGACACAGGCAGCGGGCAATGCGACGGTCATCCAGTGTGGGGGAGGAGGTGGTGGCGCGAGCGTGTCGTGCTGCTCGTAGAGGAAGGCGGGTACATCGATGTAGGGCCTCAGAGATGAGCTCGTCCCACTCACCTCGTCCAAAACGGATGATGTGCGCTGCAATGGCGGCCGTGTTTGAACACTCTGGCGGTGTCGCCGGAGCCAGTAGGAGCGTCGGTGCCAGGGCCTGGTGCCTCTGGGTCCTGGGAGACCCGCGCTAAGATGGCGCAGAGGATGTCTAGATACCCACCACGGACCCTCGGGGGGATACGCCGAAGAGGACGGGCATGAATGCGCTCCGGGGCAAAGTACTCCGACCACCGGACGGAGTCAAGCGGCCGCCACTGTGCATCTATGAACTGCATCCCCTGGGCTCGGGGCTTTGCTAGGGAAGGTAGAGCTGAGGCCCTGTCGCGGAGGGCCTGCGCCATGCGAGCTGCGTCGGCAGGGTGGCAGAATGGCATGTGGTGTCGGAGTGCTCGGCGGTTCGCGAGGGAGCTCAGGCATGTGGGGCACCTCAAGACCTCGTCTGGTGACGTCACTGTGTCGGTGGGGTCGGCCGTGGCCGTGCCCTCGGAACTATCTGACGTGGTGATAGGTGGGGCTGGTGATGGGGATGGGTGGGGAGAGGCAGGCAAGAGTGGTGCACCTACATCTGCGTCCGAGGCGCATGGTCTGAAGATCAGATCGGTCTCCATCGGAGAAGGGTGAAACGGTTCCTGCAGGATGGGGGATGCAAGAGGGAGGTCCATGAGGGGGGCTTCATGGGCGTTACCACTGGGGCCGGGGGGGTGGGAGTAGGGAGGGGTATGCCAGTGTTCTGTATCGCCAGCAAGTCAGATACAGCCGCCCCCAAGCCCGATGAGGGCTCCGACGCCTCCAGGTCTGTAAGGGAGGGAGGGTGACCTGGTCCAGCGAGAGATGAGTGAAGCACCGCCGGCCCATGTGGCTGGGTTGCATGTGGTTGTCGCACCGGCCTCAACTCACCCTCCAGCCCTCTCAGCTGAGCTGTCTGGGGCGGGGTGGGGCTGCACGCAGTGGTGGGAAGGGGGGTATGAGAGATAAGTGCAGCCTCATCCTCACTCGTCATTCTGTCAACCCCAACTCCAACTACCTCCATCCCAGTGGGGAGGGCGTCATCATGAGCGGCAACCAGATGTTGGTGGGGAAGGATTGCACTGGGGAAACCTCCACCATGTGCCTGCAAAGGCGAGGTGGTTCTCTCGATCCACAACCAGAATTTACGTGATGCGATAGAACGAATTTCCAAATCACGAATCGCCCAAGGGATTATCAAGAAAATGAAAGACATTCCGCTGCCTGTTGGCGCCAGCCCTCGCTGGCATGTTGCCAGCAGTGATCCTGTATTTTCTGCTGCCCGTTGGCGCCAGGCCTCGCTGGCATGTTGCTAGCAGCGATCGTGATCTTTGAAGGCGGTTGCCGAGTCCACACGTGAGCCGCTCCAGTGACGTTGAGGAGATGGACAGAGCCTGATGGTGAGCCTGGTGCTGGTCAGGAAGGAGGAGCTAGACAACCACAACAGCATAGATGGTGGTGTTATTGGCATTCCATTTTGGCTACCGATGGAAATTCCGTTGACAACCTAGACCACAAAGAATTACTCCATATGCGAAGAGAGGATGGTGTTTGTTATGAATGAACTTGCAGAGTGCGCAGTAAAACGGATAAAGAGAATGAATGAACTACAGAATGACGATACAAGGAAAGTAGCGAGGCCTAAACAGGGGAAAACCTAGCTAGGCGAAGAGGTTGGGAAAGGTTGGGTCAAAAGGTCGCGATTGGTGCGGAGGTGACTCGGTGTGGTTTGGGTTCGGAATTGTAGGCCTAACCAGGCTGGCGCATGGCCTTCGGGTTGTACTTGCTAAATGCGAGTACAGTAAGGAATTGTGATTCCTAATAGTGTTGATGTTTTATAGGCGGACTTGGCATGAAGACAAGAATATATCTTACTTCAATTTGTATGCATTCCAAGCAATCTACGATGCATCTTGAGCAAAGAACACCAATATAAACATGTCAACGTACTTACCAATTCAGAAGGAATGCAAATATGATTCATGAAGCAGGTGTGCTATGATCAAGTGATGATCGAACCTAGGATCACCTCGGGAAGGTTCGCACACAGCTAATTGGTAATGGTGGGCCCTTGACCTTCAAACATAGTGAATGTAAAATGTTTGAGATGATGAAACCATGCAAGTACAAGCATATAAATAGTAATACAGGGGGAATATGAAACGACCTAGCTAGCCATGTTCTCAAGGGGGTACATTCCCTTATTCGAATTCAGACCCAACCGTGCGATACGGATAGTTACGGAACTGTTCATGCCAATTCTCTCGATCCTGCAGCTGCCGATGCCGTCTGCTCCGACGGTCCAGATCCACTCAAACTGTCTGCGTTGCTTTGAGTCAACTCTAACTCTTCGCGTTCAACCTTGATACTGTGTGCTTCACTTTGCTGCGATTAGGAGTGCACAATTATACTTCCATTGTTAGTAACAAGGCGGACAAACATGTACTAGGCACATGGCACCAGCTAGTGCACTAGAAATAATTGTGATTTGCGACTGGGTCCGGAGGTAAAAAACAGGTTTTGAGGAGTAGAAGAGAAACAAGAAGCGTTCGGAGGTATGTTTGTGGAGTAGGGTTGGATTGGGAGGTTGGCGGAGCAGCTTCAGGTGTGAGGTGGTTTGGATGTGCACTGCTTCCAGACAGTCAAGTGCAGAATCACCACAGTATATTGAGGTGGTTTCCACTCCAGAATCCCTCTATCATTAGCGAGTAATGTCTGAAACCAATAGGCGCACATTTGTCCACAACTTCTTAAGCATGGTGAATGCATTGGTGAGGAAAATTTAGCGTGTATGTGCAAAGGGATGGGTTAGATTGGGGCACAGATAATGCTCTGGTTATTTTTCTGCTATAATGCAATGCATTGTCTACTCTGTTTCTTTCTCTAACCACCTAAGGCATTGACTCTAACATCTCCCAAGAAACCCAACGCGAGGTGTCAGAATCCCAGCCGCTAACCGCTGGGATAATAGGGCTTGTTTGTGTAGCGGGTGAGTGTGCCCATAACCCCCCAGGCCGACGTGCCTGTAACCCTTCTCTAGGATTGATCGGGGATCACCAGTAGACCTCTGACACCCCCCCGAAATGGAAAGCCCGAAGTGCATACAACAGAATTCGAACCCGAGATCTTCGCTCTGATACCATGTCAGAATCCTAGCCATTAACCACTGGGATAAAAGGGCTTGTTTGTGTAGCGGGTGAGTGCGCCCATACCCCTCGAGGCCAACGTGCCTGTAACCCTTCCCTAATATCAATCGAGTATCACCAGTGGACCTCTGATACGAAGCAACCATGCCATGTACATATTTGACGTGAGGAATGAGCAAGGGTTGGGCCCTGCACGATCCAATGCATCACATGCTCTTAATTGATGAGCATGACATGTCATGATAACACGTTGCAGTTGAAATGACAGGAGTGCGGTTACAAAAGTAGGAGAGCAGTGAGAGCCCAGGCCAATGGAGGCAAGCAGGTGGAAGATATTAGGGCATCGTATGTATCCATCAAGTGGCGCTGCATCTAGTTTGTTTGGATTACTCAGGTGCATCGTGCGTACATGCAAGATCGTAAATGTGTGTGTGTGTGTGTGTGTGCGCGCGCGCGTGCGTATGTGCGTGCGTGCGTACGTGTGTGCGTGCACACGCGGGCATGCGTGTGAGTAGGTACCCGCATGCGCGCCAAGAGCATCCACGTTATAAAGCATAAGAATAGCATTGCTCTTGTACACCACGACCTCGTTGCTAGGATCATCCACCAAGACATCATTTTCCACCTTTGTGGTTGCATACGGGGTTCCATCATCTACCACATAGCCATATTTGTCGATGATCTTGCTTCTCGGAAGCGGCAAGCGGGCCTTTTGTTGAAGAGACATGCCCGAGTCGTTCTATGATCTGCGATACACCAGGTGGTGCGACATCCAGAGCGGATGTCCTTGCATTGTTGGGAGCTCCCAATGTCCACCAATAGATGAGTACTGGGAATAGGGGGAATAGAGCGGCAGGGAGGGCGAGACATGGGAGCGGATCAACGGCTGAATAATGACTACGGTATGGCGGAATGCCGCAGTAGGATCGGTTCTCAAACTCTCAAATGCGAGGACCCACTGTCATTTTCCACTTTACAGTCACTCCAAATAGAGTGACTCCATTTTCTACTTTACAGGCCTTGTTGGTGTCAATGGGAGTTGGGTATTGGCCCCGTCCTCGCTTGGGAGGAGCCGACTTCGTGGTCGGGTGTGAGGGGAGCAGCCGACCTGCAGCAGTGGGTGAGCTGGTTGACGAAGAGGTCGACCTGCACGGGGACCACTGCACGGGCGCCGACTTCAGGGTGGCGCCGACTTCGGGGAGGTCGACTTGGGAGTTGGCCTGCGGAGGACGTCAACTTGGTGACGTCAACTTGGTGAAGCCGACTTCGATGGTCGGCTGACGGCCTACTAGTCGACCTGCTGATGGTCGACCGGACCTGGTGGTCGACGAAGGAGGGGCCGACGTCGACCTCGACTCAGGATGCCGAGCAGTTGGGCGTCGAGTAGCGGGGCGTCAACTTCGTGACGCCGACTTTGGGTGGTCGACGTGGGTGGTCGGCCGACAACTGTGCTGGTCGACGTGGAGCTGGTCGACCAGAAGGGACGTCGACCTGGAGGAGGTTGACCGATGGTGTGGTCGACCTGGTGAGGTCGACGTGGAGGTGGTCGTCAACTTGGGCGGTCGACGGGCACGTACGAGAGCCGCTGGTCGACGTGGTTGCCCGGTCGACCAGGTTACCTGGTTGTCGAAGTGCTGCGGAGGAGTGCGACTGTCGCCCAGGCGAAGTTGGCGAGCCCGACCTCGGTGGTGGTATCCCGAGGTCGTCGTGGCGGATCAGAGGCAGTCGTCAGCTCGAGTTTGACGTGGTGTGTGCGCTGTGTAGGTGACGAGACTCTGCACGCCAATCATCTGCGCGCACCTGCGAAGCGGGTGCACTGCTATTCTGCGTGAGCAACACTGGCATGCCGTCAACCTGCGACGTTGGCACGTCGTCGACTTTGCCTTGCTGGAGCGCGGTCGACCAAGTCGTGCTGGAACGCGGTCGACCAAGCTGCGCTGGCAGTCGGCCAACCTGAATGCTTGCACTGATGTAGTCTTGCTATGCCAACTTCATTGAACCATTGTTCTGAACTTTTCCTAGTGGAACTCTTGCCAACTTTCCCCATGAACTAGCAAGTAGTGTGCGCACAAGGAAAATGACTAAGGACTAATGAACGCAGAGATCACACGAGCACACGTGCCTAGCCCGTGGTCTAGCTCCCGTTGTAGTAGTTATCTCCGCATGGTGCGGTGAGCGTGGAACGGCACACGACTTACCTTTCAGTCAGGTCGACGTAGACACCACTTACCTATTTCGTAGTTGCAAGCCGGCAACTGTGCGGTTGTCACTATGGTAGGAGCCGTAGGTGACGCGGGGCTGGTGGACACCTTGGAGGCACGGTTGGAGAACGCGAGGAGGAGGCACTAGGCCAACGAGTATGGCGATTTGCCCTGGGCGGTCGTCGAGGCCGGACTCCGCTCCATGTGGGCGACGGAGCACCCGTCTTGACCTGCCTCTCCTCGTCCAGTGAACAGCGAAGGCAGCGTCGACGTGGGCGTCAACGCCGGTGGTGGTCAAGTCGGCAGCACTGCTGGAGGTACGTCGAGGCAGAGAGGTGTGATACACGCCGGTGAAGTCGGCGGCGTTCAGGCGCGAGGGATGCAGTCGTCGGCGGCTGCAGGCTCCTCGCATGGCGACGCTGGTGGGCGTCGGAGTGGGGTGTCGCCGATGTCGGCGTCCCAGGTGTCGGCAGGTGGGATTGCGCCGAGCTACGGCTACTTCAAGTTCACGCCGGATAGGATCTCAGTCACCCCCCCACTAGTCGGTCGACTTGACATTCTCACCTGGAAGGAAGCTATCGAGCCTCAGCTGGAGATGGCCGGGCTGATCGGCTTCGCCCGAGGGACCGTGGCGACGCCGGGGGAGCACCACCCCGACTTGCGGGCGGAGTTTCACG